TTAAGGAGTTTATGATATTTAATTTTATAAATGGGACAAAAAAATTTAATGGACTATTTGCTCCCATGTGAAATAGCTGGGCATAAAGAACAACTAAAGGTATCTACTCCAAGTAACATTTTTAAAGCAAGGTTGGTAGCTATACAGAAATGATCTTCTTGATGATTGCCCTGCTACTATTTGATAGCTCCCTGAAGTTCATTTTCCTCTGACCCTTTTTAAATTTAAGCTGAAAAATTTGGTTTTTTTCTTTTGCTTTTAATGGTTCAAATTGGTTGATGGATGATAATTTTCCTTTTGTTTTAGAAATGAACATTTATTTCATATTAGCTGTTTTGAATGCCTTTTGATAGCAAAGTGGGATATAAGTATTTTAAATAAGCCACACACAGATGATCTAATGAGGACTTCCCTTAACACATAGACTAATATGGTTACAGTGGCCACAAACCATTTAAAGATTAATCTTGGTGCTGAGAAGAACTCCTCCAGCATCATTTTCTGAGATAATTCTTTCAAGAAAAATCATATTTACTAAGCCCAACCTGTACATTAGTCCAAAATAATACCTCAATCATATTCAACCTATTGAGTGGTCCAGAAAAATAGAACTGTGTTATACTTTCTTTTTGAAGGTTGTTTCCATCCCATTACCAGTTGAATAACCCAAATGAGGCGAAATAGGAGAAAATACTTTTGATCTAACTAATACAAGTTACAATACAACTAGTTACAATATCAACATTCAGCATCTGCTACTCAAGAATGGAAAAACATTATCTAAAAAGTTGTTAGTGACATACTGGAAGTGGAGGGAAGAGAAGTGAGCAATAAATGATTTTGAAAGAAAATGTACAATACCCTCATCTATCAGAATTGCAGAAAGGAAGACAAAATTGATAATTATCTGCAAGTAGATCAAACTTGACAACATATGCACTTCATTTCTGTGTGGAATAATCTGTACTCCGAGTGGAAGTTTAGTGCGTTTTTTTCCTGAGAAATTTTGCCAGTGTTCAACCATAATTTAAAATGTATTTATGAGGAACCCATAAGGGTACAAGCAGGACAGCCTTTCTACTAATGACAATTGATGACTTTTGCATGACTAAGGTAAGGGCATAATGAAGTGAGTGCCCTTACAAGTGCTGGGTGCCAATGGATCAAGCAACTTGCCAATACATCAGCTTTTGTTCTCTACCAATGCAGCTGGTTGAGCATAAAATTTAATTAATTGAGACTGAGATTAAAGGCTAACATCTAATGGCATAATGGAACATAGGACTGACATGTTAAAAATGACAATAAATGTCTTAATATGACAACATTATTACCAAAGCTCAGCTTGTTTAAAACAGATAGAAAATCTGTTCATCCTTACTTGATTAATTCTCTATGGCTCAGCAAGTACCATAAGGAATCTTTCTCTATAACTGGGAATGTAAAAGAATACCTCTCAGCAATTCAGAAATCAGACTCGTGTGGATAATACACATCTTAATAAAAGTCAGCCCAACTTTCCAAACACAAAGATTTATGCTTACTTTTAAGGCTAAATTATCTCACAAATCTACCGTAAGTTTTGCAAGAAGAGAATTATATATGCAGCCTTGAGCTGCCAGAGGCAAGGTGGATTTAAGTGTACAAATAACCTTTAAAACCAGTAATTTCAGGCAATTAAAGCCAGACACAATCTGTTACAAAGAAATCCTCAAAATATATAGAGAATCAAACAAGTAGTGATGCACTAGTAATGTGCTAATATTAGAATGCAATTTGCTTGTCTAGATAATACTTAAGATTTAAGATGTAAGAAAGATCAAAATTACTTTTACAAGTATCTGCAGAATAGTTAAAGTGAAATAACTTTGTCGATTCTACTTTTTTGTTCTCAATGGGGCTAATTATTTAAAGTTATTTCATGGTTCTTAATCAGTTTATGGCAGAATATACTGCAACTAACAGTTTGCAATTAGTGTTAGGAGACTGATGTGGAAGATAATGCAATTAACAGCAGCCTAAAAAGTATTTTTTTCTAAATAGCCTGTGATGCTATCAGGAAAATACAAGATACTGGACACCTATAACAGTTTAACTATCTTTTAAATACTAAATATTAAATTTTTAATACTGCTCATGTACGTGGGCTGTTGGCACATTATACCAAGTTGCAAAACTAGAGGCAGCTTGGTCTGTGGGCACCCTCTCCCTCCAGCCAAGAATGAACCATAGACTCAGGATATCACCTTACCAGAATTTCAAATGTTTCCTGGGTATCATCCAGCATCTGGATTTTGATAGAAATAAGTTTTCCTGTAGGTGTTGTAGGCAATTTCTGTCCATGTTCCAGAGTACTGATGCCAGCATTCTCCTGTCCTCCCAGCCGAGATCCTGTTGTCACTCTTTGCTCCACTTCACCCATATCTGAAGAAACAAGCTTCTATTTCTAATAGAGGGGCAAAGACAAGGAGAATATGGTGCCATGTTAGTTAAATTATTCATCAAATGATTTATTAATTTGCAAAATGTTGTAAACCTGAGTATTACTGAAACATTTTTTTTTCTTTAGAGGAAGGGCTGGAGAACTCTAGTTTTCCAGATGTAGGATTTCAGTTCCCATTATCTCTGTACAGCTAAGATGATGAAATATAATTGGAGTT